TTATAATCTACAAAATGATGTCAGAATCGATCAGGCATATCTCTAAATGTAACTGTAGCTGTTTTTCAACCTTTTTACACGCATTAATATAGGTACCCTTTTATAGAGAGAAATGTATTCCAGATAACTGTTTATGTTTCACTAAATATGAATATTATTCTGTCAAAAGATATTTCTCATACCATTCCATATTATTAGATGTTTTATTAACAGACATTTATTTATTCAAACTAATAATATTATAACAACATCCCTAATGTATGTCAAGTAGACTGATATCAAAATCGTCTGATTTCAATGAGTCACTGACAGAGAGAAAATGGATTGAAAACGTTTCAAAATAAACTGAATGACCTGTAGGTTCGACTTTCAATTTGAAAGCAAGTTAATAATTTTCTGAAGTAACTAAGAAGGATTATGACGCTAGCAGTAAGTACTATTTCTATTGTCTGTTATAACTTTTACTGACGAATACGTAACAAGAATAAAATTTTCTCGAATGTTGGGTTTCATTCCAAGAATTGTTTATGAAACATTGATAAAAGCAAAAAATTAACGATCTTTCTTGGAACCTACCAATGACATGATTATCTGTGACAGGTTCTTGATCCTCTGGTGCTTGACTATGTGACATTGGCTCTTGGCTAGCCATCTCCACAGATTGCTCATCTTCAATTTTAGGTACATCTAATTGAAATACCAGATTTCGTCGTTCGTCGGCATTGAGATCGTTTAATGTGAAAGTGATCTTGGACGAGGGCAATTGTTCAGGTTCGTATTTGTACTTAGAGTGAGCATGATTAACTTTGTACTCTCCATCGAATTCGATGTTGACACGTATATTTTGTGCCACACATGTCAAAAGTCCAGCAAGAACCGTGACAAACGCCGTACCCACTGCTGTTTGTTCATCCTATTCGAGAGATGAACATGCATGTTACTACTTTATTTTGCACACCTAGTTACACAGTCTCCCTAGCAGCTTATTTAGATACAATCCTGATACAGATTTCATTCATAAAATGTTCTATTTTGAATGCTTCAGCAGTTGACGTATGAATACCTCAATTTATCTTCCTTCGGATGGCATTGTCTCTTATAAAGTAGACTTTTTAGGACAGGATACAGTAGAGTACAAAAAAAAACCAATATCGCTAGCCACTCAAAGCATCTGAAAGTATCTTCCAAATTTCGAGAGAGATTTTTCTAGAACTTGCTTAAAGATCAGGAAGGGTCTGTATATACCAGTTCTTATTGTCGAATACATTATTGCAAAAGGCAGGAAGCGAGATACCGTGAACCGACGGAGCGGTAATAGCCGATCTCGCAAGTTTACATCCGAGGACAGTATTATGATCAATTCATGGAATCGAAGGAACAACAAGTCAAAGGCGAAAGAAATTGCCGAGAATTTACGACGCCAAATTCATCGAATAGTCTACAAGACCATTTTATCTCAAGTGATGCTGATATTAACACAGAAGCAAAAAGAAAGGTGATTACAATAGACAATGCTGTACAAATACGATATGAGCTGGCCGGTGTCCTCTGAAGAAATCTACTAGTAAATATTCCGAAACATGATTCGTCGCCCTTGGTCCAAAAATTCTCAGCAGTAGTTCAAGAGAATTCCAAAGAACAAGCAGCAGACCATGGTCTGGAAGATCTTCAGTAGCAAAGAAAAGATTCCGTGACATCCATTCGAATAGATCATAGATGGCTCCTAGTATGTTCAAATCTTTCAAAACCATCTTCTTCCTGGCGTAAAAAGACGGAATTGTAAAGATTCTTCTAGTACAAAGAGTGCCAACGAACAGTCATTACAACTCCAAGTCATTTGATCGCTCGATGAGAACGAGATATTTTGGCTCTCCTTCATTCAAAGGAAGAAAATTAGCTATCAACTAATATATTTTGATTCTATATTGGGTGCGTAAACTGAGAATAGAAAAGATTTCTGACTAATCATTTCCAGTGGAAGAATTTTGTCAAAATCTGACGGCAATTCTCTTGACGCTCCACTGTACCTGAAATAAAGATGATCTTATATAAAGTTCATCTATCCCTTTCGAATGATGTGATGTCCAAATTTATACGATGAGCTTACAAAAAATATTTCAATATAATTATCTCTTTCTAGCATCCGTTTTCGAAGAGTAAAAGATATCAATTCCTATTGCATGAAGTCCTTTCGTCGATAAGCGCTTGATTATGTACACTTGCCTCTGTCAAATCTTCTGAAAATCAAGTATCTCAATGACAGACACCTTAAGTCAAACGATATTCGAAACAATTGTTTTTTTAAATCTACTGGTGCGGAAAGTTTCATGTCTTGTGCATACAATCAGAAGCTTATCAATCAGGATCAATGTGATAGAAAAAGTTGTTGAACTCACGATATAAGTGAAATTGCCTCCGTTGCCTTGCTCGGCCAGTTGTACAAGCAATGCCGCCGTATGATCTGGTCCGTACCCAAATGTATGACAAACAATTCCATTGGGCAATCTCTGCATTAGTTGTGAATAATCGTGGGTTTCATTGTCCTGACCATCGGTGAGTAAGAGTATAGCGCCAGATGGATTTTTTGTTCGACGACTAGTGAATAACTCGATGCTCATTTCTAGGCCGCGTCCAATATACGTACCGCCTTGATCATGAATATCGTCCATAATCGCTCTCTTCAATATTTCCTTACTAAAACAAAATCAACTAACAAAATATTCAGCTTTTAATTGGCGCAACTCCTTTCAGTCATTGATTGATCAAAAGTATGATGGCCAAAACTAAAATGCACTTCAGATCGAATACAGATTTTTGATAATATATGTCAATACGATAATCATGCCAGGCATAATACATACAGAACGAATCAAAATATATACCATTCGATAGATCTTAACGAGTTTTATCTAATTGAAGTGCCTGACAAAATTCGGAGACTTGTCCAAAGTCACAAAAATTGGGAAAAACTCAAGCTGAATATTTTTTATTATCACTTCATTTATAAATGCATATCTGACCATTTTTTACGGTGAAGATATTCGAATTACAGTAGTATATTGTCAGACATTCTGGAAATTGTTCTTTCAATACACATCTAGAGGGACGATTTTGTTTTTAACCACACGCTAAAAACAGACAATCAGAAAAGGATAGAACTTTTCACTCATTTGATTGAACGGTTGATAAGAGATGTTGGAACTGCAAAAAATTGCAATTAATACTAGCATATTCATCTTAATTCGGTGTTTCTGCTCAATGGGAAGATATTGAATTCGTGCGATTTTTTTTGTCATCGACTTCTATAAAAAGCGATATGTGAACGGGTGCTGTACTCACTTTTGTTGAGTCATACGTTTGAGCCCATGAGATCGATCAAAGGCTTGTGTGTTAAATGAAACAATAGCCAATCGATCAAGCTCACTCATTTGTTCGACAATGTAAATTAATGTTTGTTTTAACAAGGCCAATTTCTCACCGGCCATCGATCCACTTTGATCGACAACACAAATGAGATCGATTGGAACACGAGAGGACGATGATGATAATTCATTCTCTAATGGCCAACTCACAGGAGGTGCTTGAAGAGTGACAAGTCCGTAAATGTTTGAGTCTTGATGTGACATTTGACCATCGAATTCCAGCGTAGTCAAAGCAGTGATCAAATGTGCATTAGTGGAATTTGATGAGATGGCGGCTTGTCGAGCCGAAGTGACACGATCGGAGAGTGCTCGTACAGCATCTTCATCAACCGGATCTTCGGTTGAGGGAACAACCTATGGTATACCATGATAGAGTTATTTTAAGTCTACAATCGTGAAATAATTTCTTTTTCAGCAGAAATTTACTTTTTCATATGAAAACCTCAGATCCGCTAGATAATCTTTTTTGTTTTTCTTTCAGGATAAAAAATATTCATCAACTCCTTCTAAATTCGAACAGTAGAACCTTTTTGATCTTTGATGCAGTTGAAAAAAATTCTATAAGATGACTCCTGTAAATATAAAGTGGGACATAAATCAAGTTCCAGTTCTTTACGTTAGAAGTCATCATGTAGTAAATGTCTTCGAGAGAATCGGCTGTTTTTCTCCAAGGCAAAGTACTTATTGGCGTTCGACATTAGAGACATCTTATATAGTTTTTTTGATTAAAAGATCAACTAATAATTCTATAGACGACTACGTAGAATTTTACTCACGTTGACAGTTGGTGTAGCTTCAGTTGGAGTTTGAACGTTAACAGATACGTTTGCACTACCGGCGCCTGCTAGCATTTGAATAAGTGATGCATCGAGTCCGGTTCGACATAGAGGGCATTGGTTGTTATGCGCTTTTACATTTGATGCAAGACATTGAAGATGAAACTTATGGTTACATGACAAAGTCAATAGAGGTGTTCCTGGTGCTAAAGCATTCAGACAAATCGAACAGTCGTCAGTTGTGCTACCCGATGGGGAAGATGATGAAGCAGGCAGCATAGCTGCTTGTTGCGTGGCCAATGTAGTTAATCAAAGGAGAAAAATATGTAGGAAGTGAAGCGATCTTTTGCTTTTTATAGCTGCAAAGAACAAACAGTTCGTAATTGCACCACGTCTTGTTCACATTATCGTAACATGGCCATGCTGAGTCATTAGAAAGAATTGGAAAAATACAAGCAGCAGTTTTACAAATTTCTTTGTCATTAGTCATCTGAACCGAAAGAAAGCGGATTTTTTTTATTTTCAACAACGAACTATTGTCGAAAGATGTCGAAATGTATTAATAACAACAAACTGAAGCACCTTCAACATAAAAAAACTGAGGGTGTGGGTGGGGGGGTGTGGGTGTGAGTGTGGGTTTGTGTGGGTGTGGGTGTGGACGTGCGGTGAGCGTAGCTGACTGGAGAAACGAATCATGAGTACACCCATACCCACACCCACCCTCACACCCCACACCCACACCCACACCCACCCATACCCCACACCCCACACCCACACCCACACCCACACCCTCACCCCACACACTCACACACCCACACCCACACCCACACCCACCCTCACACCCCACACCCACA